CACTTGAGGTAATTTTTTCATGTTTTGTTCAAATATTTTGATTTTACCGCCTAGTTATACTGCATTAAAGTGTAAAATAAAGACTTTGATGAACAGAAATATGTTACTGTAGTAATTATGATAAAGAGAAACTATGCCCCTTGGGGGTCGTTTTACCCCTCAGCATAGGGGGCGTTTTACCCCACAAGCTATGTCTTTTTAAAAAATTGTTTATTTTTAAAAAATATAATTATATTCCTTATAAATAACATATGCTCTCAAACTACAGACATCACTATTCATCTATCATACATCAATGTGATATCACTGTGAACAATATTCTATTAAAAACTTGTTTATTAATATCTGAAAGTTATAGCACTTTCCATGTAATCCTCTTCTCTTCAAATACGTCGCTGGTGTCAGCTTCTCCATGGAGACTTGTATATCCCCGTTTTCAACGTAGTGCATAGCAATAGTAAAAATGTATCTTGATTCATTCTAGTGGTTATTTTGGGAAAAACGGGTGGGGGGCGTTTTACCCCAGGGGGGCATTTTCCCCCACTCTACCCTACTATATATTCACACAGCTGATTTACACTGGAATAATATTTAATACTATAACTGATTTTTGTTGTATTTTTAATCAAATAAGCGCAGCCATGGTTAGCAGAAGAGAATTTTTTTTAAAGTATTTAAAATCGTACCGACCCCAAACTTTTGAACGGTAGTGTACAGTAATATAACGTTAAGTCAACGGCGTTGATAAACACGCTGAAAAGCGATTATGCGTGTTGATAGCACGCCAAAAATGGAAATACGAATTGGCGTGTCATACATACGCCATTTCATGAGATCAGTCTGCACATTTTATTAAAAATAAAATACATATTTCAGTAAAAAAAAAAAATACTTCTAAAACCCATATATATTATATATATATTATAAGTTATGGGCTTTAGAAGTTTATTTTTTACTGATGAATGTATTTTATGTTGACATTTAGTTTGAGCATCCAAACCAATTGTAGTTTATTTGAACATCTTTGCAGGCAAAAGTGAAAATTTGAAAAAAGTAGCCTAGTGCCGCGACTGACCAATCAGTATGAAGTATTCCAGAGAGCCAAATGATTTCAACACACAACAACAATCATGTAATGTATAGCCTAGCAAGCTCTGTGGTTAAATAGTGTGTAGACTAATTTAAATATATTATGTGGATTCCAATATTGCATTGATCGCAGAACATTTTTATTACATGATTTCACCCAAAGTCATAGTAACTTTAGTATTGATTGAAAATTTCAATCTTGTCCTTAATTTGATTTAGGTTACATCTCACTGACAAATATATACAATCAGTAGATAGTCTTCAATACTCCTCACGTGACAGTAAGAGCTCATTTCTCAGCACACATGGATTATCATGCTCTTCAACAGCCTATCAAGTGTTCTGATGGTGTCAGGATAATTTACCCATGGGAATGTTCATCCACACTTCATTTCAGTTGTGTGCTCTGAGCCAATTCTTCCTTCTTCTCTCTTTTTTTTATCATGTCAAGAGACGTATCCCCTGTGAACTGTTTTCACACCCACCGAAAGATTATTTCCCCCCTTTATTTGTCTTTCCCATCTCATCAAATATCTTGTGTATCTGGCTGAATCCAGCTTGCACTGGTATGAGTGCTTTACTTTGCATATGTCTAGTCAAATTTGCCACAAGTAACAAATAAAAGTCAAACTCTGTGGCAGCCATGCTAGAAACAGGTTAAACACTTTGCTTGAAGGCACAACATCAGCTGAGACTAGAGGGATTTGAACTGACAGCGGCCTGTATATAGAGCTATAGTGCATAAATCTTACTCACTTCTAAATGCTAAAATAGCGCAGTGCTTCCATCTTGTTAGTGGATATTAAATCTGATTTATTTGAGGTTTATAACAATGTGCTCACTTGTCATGTAGCAGATGTTTGTTTCCTTTCGATGTGCCTTACAGTACATTAATTGGATGACTGACAGCTGGGGTTGCTAGTAATGATAATAGGATAAAGGCTTTGTTTTTTGGGTAACTCGTCCAGTTTGTGGATCACTTACACATCCAGTGGATTTACATGCATCACAGGAAATATTTGTCATTATTTGTCTTTTTTTTTCTCTCAACCAACTAATTATTTTCCACCACGTTAAATTATATGTTGTTTAGCATTCTATAATAAAAACAGGTTTTTTTTAAAACTGTGCTAAGTCTAATTTCTTAGATAACAATTTATTTGTGTATCCTAAAATACATACAATAAAAAAAAAATCACACTTTGTACAAAATTACAGCTCGACTGGAAATTATTTTATTTGAATATATTAAAACACAAAACTATTCTGCAAGTGATATTTACAAATTTCTTTGTCTTCACACATGTGCATGGTTTTTATCTCAAGCTCTTCACTGACACTTGTGTCTCCTTGGTAAACAAATATGTCAACATTTCATACAACATATTTTTATAAAGAAAACTATTTTTATGTTTTGGTGGATATGACACCACAACAGAGGGACAGTTGTAATTTGTGTCTGTCTGTCTGTGACAAGAAGGTTGAGATCCAAATGCAGTTTTTAATAATGGGGCAATCCAGACACGTAATCCAATACAGGCAAAAGGTCAAAACACATGCAGGTAGGCAGTCCAAACAAACAAAACACACAAGGTTGGGAACAAGGCAAACAGGTAATCTAAAGGCAGGCGGAGAGTCCAAAAACCAAAATACATGGAACCAGAGAAATGCTCAGAAATGCAGCGCAACAACAAACAAGACTTCGCAGAGAATGAATGAGTGTACATGGTTTAAACAGGCTGAGACTGACAAGGTAATGAGACACTGGTGGATGCAATCAGGGATCATGAGTCCTGGCAGTGAGTTATGGGAAATATCTATCTATCTATCTATCTATCTATCTATCTATCTATCTATCTATCTATCTATCTATCTATCTATCTATCTATCTATCTATCTATCTATCTATCTATCTATCTATCTATCTATCTATCTATCTTCATTTTTAAAAATAAATTATGAATTGGTTTTTCTACTTTATTTTTATTTAGATTATCATTAGTTAAATTCTTCATTAAATATTAAATCTTCATGATATCAAATCCATTATATTATATATTATCACAGGGCTAGGGTTCATCAAAAAAAAAAGTGAAACAAAGAAAATCTGTTTATTTTAATAAAATCGTTTTCAGATGTTTTTAAATAATGTTTCAACAAAAACCAACTGGAACATAAAAGTTATAGAAACATGGGGTGTGACTGTTGAGTAAACAAACATTTTACTAAGAAAATCCATATTCCGGAGCAGGGCTAAAGAACTCCCTTTAACACATCAAAGAAATGGCAGCAAGCTTTGTAGCAACACATCAATATGACCAGTGAGATAATAGATAGTAACTATGAATAATGCAATAATCCATAAATATGCTCATCATGGCAGGAATCAGCAACCAGTCATGTTTATAATTTTTTATCAGGAGGAAGCGTACACATCTGTCACATTACAAAACAATAGGCCTACTCTTTGTAATCATGTCGAACTTTTATTTCGAACATTTGAATCTGTCCTGCAGATTGATCTACTGTAAATATGGATTTGTTCTTTCTTCCATAAAAGCCTTTTCGGGAGATTGACATGACTTTTGTCTAATTCCGCATCCTCGCGGGGGGTTCATCGACACACTGGAGTGGAGGATCTGTCACAGAGGGTTAGAATGGCATGCTGTGATAATTGAAGACATCTGCAGAAATGTAAAACGTGAGCGTTGGAGAAAGACGATGTGGCGTAGCTAGCTGTGAAGTGCTGGCAAACTCATTTAAAGCTGAATTGAGTGTGATGGTGTGGAAAAACAAGAATCGAGCAGCTCAGTTTCACTGCCCGCTGTGTCCACCGCACACTCTGATTCGTGTTTTAACATCTCACTACAGAATTCCTGTTTCAACGACTCAGTTTATGCTGGTCAAGAAATTAATTATGCATCCACAATCATAAAAACATACTTTTTGTTGCTCTACTGCATTTATATAATAAAAATAAAAACATGAGATAAGACGAAACTGCCACCTTGTGGTGGGAAAATCAGATGCTCTCTTTAGTTCACATTTATCAACATCTTCATGATGTGCAGACAAATACTGATAAGAACCATTTTAGAATCTGTTAACAGATGTTTAGAGAATATTTAAATGCAAGCTTTCTGACTGCAATGTAATAACCACTTTCAAGGTCCAGAAAGGTAAAGGTAAAGACGTCGTTAAAATAGTCCATGTGACTACAGTGGTTCAACCTTGATGTTATGAAGCGACGAGAATACTTTTTGCGCACAAAATCAAAACAAAAATAACGACTTTATTCAACAATTTCTTCTCTTTTGTGTCATTCTCTGACGCTGTTCACGTGAGCACCACGTCCACGACACATCACGGGGGTCAGAAAGCTCTCGGATTTCATATCATTCATAAACAATTTGTCTTCCGAAGATGAACGAATGGCTTATGGGTTTAAGAAATACATGAGGGTGAGTAATTAATGACAGAAATGAATTTTTTGGGGTGAACTAACCCTTTAAAGTGTTCTGTCGGGCGCTTTATATATTCAAACATTTTCGTGGTTCCCATCAGTGATCATTTTATGGATTAAGTTTTAATTAATTAATTTAGTTTAAATTTAATTAACTACATTTTATGAATTAAACAGCTTGTAAACATTCTTTTCAATAGAAAAAAATGAATGAAATGAAATAACCATTAAATACTAATTATTAGCAATCATGCAAGACTTTTCTCCTTGTATAGAACCTTTTTGGCATTAAGTGTTCTTTAAATTTAAGGTAAAAAAAGAACCCTAGGGTTCTATATACAGTAGAACCCCACTGAACCTTTTGTCCTAAGAGTATACATTCCCTTCACCAAAGCATTGTTTGACAATGCAAAACTGTATTTCAACACACACAAAAAATAAGTTTCACTCTTTATAAAACCCATATACATTTATTTATTAAAGGCAGAATGATGATGTCAATCAATGTGATGCCAAATAACATGCCTCAAATCTCAGACAAGATCTGTAAAAGGGCACATGCAGAATTTGATTTTTTCCCCATTCTCTTTTTTCATGCACACAATGTTGTTGTCAGAACGTAAACAGTACATGACTATCCAAAGGAACTCAACAAACAATCATGGAAAGAGTATGAATACTCATACAAAAATGTTTTTTTTTTTTAAATTGGCAATCACAGTGAAAAACCCTACGAAAGATCAACATCTGAATGATGACTGCTGAGTTTCTACTCCATTAAATCCATTTTATCTTCCAACTTTCCTTAGAAACAAGACTTCAATCTGAACATACTATATTATATGTTTTATTTACAAATGGTGCTTAAACCTCTTTAGTCTAATCACACAGCAATTCAGGTATCAGAGTATAAACTTTACAAATTGATATCTGACAGAGAAACCGGAAAAACGGCATCAAGGGGAACGATGTAGTCAATTATGCGAAGTAGCGCTACGCACAAGGACGTCATATTCAAGTTATCTCTGGATTCACAGTTAAATCTTTACCCAAAACCATTTGAAACCTGTTTTTTTCCAGTAAGTTTAGAAACTATATCCTCAAAAATCAAACGAGAAATAGAGCTACTGGTTCACCTTGGAGATTAATAAAAAAAAAAAAAGTGACCTCATGATTCGAGTCTCACACTTTTAGTTCATTTACACATAAACATTCTTTAAATGTGTCACACTAATGATCCGTACAAGCCAAAGGCACGCTTCCTTTGTACAAAACCGGTAACACTTCTCGAACTCCTTTGGGTATTCTTTACACATTTAATTGAGCTACAGGTGTTGGATCGGCCATCTCGTGCCGCACGCTTATCTCATTTCCTCGTATTTCTACACACCTGTGTGGAACTGAAGAAAATGGGAGTGTTGGGGACAGGACCACATGGTGATTTATTATTGTTTGTTCTATTCCCAAGGAGGGAGTCTTTTCACCAATCCCTTGTGGTCAGTGTTGATGCTGGCCAGCAGGCCGCCCGTGTTTCCTTCTGACCCCGAGTAATCAATCTGCTCTCCTTTCAGAGTTGTCATTTGACCACCAAGAGACCTCAAGATGGCATCGCCTGCACAGATATCCCACTTTTTGATGTACGTCACGTGGATGTACATATCGGCCATCTCTTGTTCCTTATCAGTGGAGTCTAGAAGAGCCAGTACCTTGTATCCTGTGGAGGGGGAAACACAAAGGTTACTGAAGCAAAGTACAGTTTTATTTTCTCCTGCCACAGTCATTGACAACTATTTTATATTTAGTAAGAAAAAAAAAGTAGAATGATATTTGGAATTAATTGGAATGTGAAAAGATTTGGGGTGACAAGAAAGGGTTAAAATATATGAACTATTACAAACATTTTTAAACTTCAGAATAAAATGCACCAATGAATCGTTCACAATAACACAAGGATCATGTATTTAAAGGGTTTTTTCAACCAAAAATGAAAATTCTGTCTTTATTACTCACCCTCATGTCGTTCCAAACCCGTAAGACTTTCGTTCATCTTCGGAATGCAAATGAAGATCTTTTTGATGAAATCTGAGAGATTTCTATCCCTCCATTGACAGCTACGTAACTACCACTTTGACGCTTCAAAAAGTTCGCAAAAATAATCCATATGAATTGAGTGGTCTTTTATTCACATATAAACATTCAACTACGCACATATCTTTTAATGTAAACGGACGCTCACGCATGTTCGCTTGACATGCGAGAACCAGTGAGGTTCATTCTCATGTGTTACGCAGCACGTTTGAGCTTCTGCAAGAACCAATGAGGTTTGTTCTCTCGCGTCAAGCAGGTTCGGTTGAGCTTCTGTTTATGTTCACTGATTAATGTTTATATGTGAATAAAAGCCTAAATTCAATCTGTTCATCATAGAAAGTGATCGAGTCTCTTCAGAAAATTTGGACTAAACCGCTCAACTCATATGGATTAGTTTTATGATCTCTTAATTAACTTTTTGAAGCGAGAAAGTGGTAGTTGCATAGCTGTCAATGGAGGGACAGAAATCTCTCATATTTCATTAAAAATATCTTCATTTGTGTTCCGAAGATGAACGAAAGTCTTACAGTTTTGGAACGACATGAGGGTGCGTAACTAATGAAAATGAATTTTTTCTTTAATTGAAATGTCTTCATTTAAAAACAATTATATTAAAATATATATTAAAGTATTATTTCTGTGTATAAATATTAATATCAACAATTAATTATGGTACTTAATTGTTGATATTAATATTAGTACAACAAAATTATATTTTAATAAACTTCTGTTCAAAAGTTTTATGTTTTTAATGTTAATGTTAATTTTAATGCTATTACAATTTAAAATAACTGTTTTCTATTTGAATATATTTAAAAATGTAATTTATTCCTGTGATCAAAGCTGAATGTTCAGCATCATTACTCCAGTCTTCAGTGTCACATGATCATTCAGAAATCATTCTAATATGCTGATTTGCTGCTCAAGAAACATTTATGATTATCATCATTATCAATATTGAAAACAGTTGTGCTCCTTAATATTTTTTTTTGTGGAAGCAATGATAATTTTTTTTAGGATTCTTTGATGAATAGAAATGTTAAAACAACAGCATGTATTTGAAATAGATATCTTTTGTTAACCAATCTTACTGACCACAAACCTTTGAATGGTAGTGAACATATTTATTGTAAATATTTTTTCAAAACATTTATTTGATAATCTCTCAGAATGCAGTACCTGCACCCCCTGCTGGTAATATTTCCGTATTGTTTCCAAAGGCAGCCTGAACGAAGCTCTTCACCTTGCCCGAGTGAGAGCGTGAGACGATCACCGTAGGAGAGTTCGTGTTGTAGGAAGAACGAGGTGCCACATTGGATCCCTCTCCAACAAAACCCCATGCTGATGATGAGAGAGCATGTGTGAGCACCACAGTATGAATCCATTAAATACAGAACAGTCAGAACAGGACAGTTTAGGTATAATGATCATTAATGCCCTTATACACAATAATAAACTACTGTAATTGTCATTAAAGACACAAACAATTATCTTGAAGTCTCACATTAATATAATGTTAATTTACTTATGTGTTTTCTTGTTTATTAGCTAATCATTACACATTGTGTAGTTCTTGTCAAAGAACCATATATTTGATGTAACCAAAAAAGTGCAGAAAATGAACTATGAAAACTACAAATCGCTCACTCCTCAGCATTCCCAAAATGGCTCCTAGATCCTGTATCCAAAGCCACCTGGTAATCTGGTTTTGTGGTAATGTCTGTAAAGCTTAAATAAACACACCTGTGTACCCAGTGAAGGGTTTGTGGATCACACCTATTACAGGACTCCCATCCACAGCCACACACACCATGGTGGTGACATACTTCCGGAGGTTTTCTGTTGAAAGCACAAACAGGATTTACATCCTGGTACAGCACTTGTGCACCGCTGGACCATAAAACTGTTCCTCCCACTACAACAGCAGGACTTGCATAATAAAACTACAACTCGTATATAGATAACCTACACAAATAATGTGGCAATTGAAGATATAATATTATTCCTCCTAAAATTCCGGCAGTTCAAAGGTGACTTGATTTATGGTGATATGATTTATAAATAAAGAGTTGCACCAGACCTGTGTATTCCTGAGTGGCGTCCAGTGGATCAATCCACACTGTGATCTTGTTTGCAGGAACCTCCTTCTCCCCAGGGATCTTGGCCAGAATTTCTTCAGGGATGATGCGTGTCCACAAAGTGGCCTCACCCTCTGCGTTCGCATGTTCTTCTGAGTTCACCTGCAAACAGAAAAGAAAACCACACTTTGAAGAACATTTACGCAGCCGTTTCTGTTGCTTAACCTAAAAACTGAAAAACTTTTTAACCTCTTTTAAAATCTCTTATGACATCCTCTTTAAGCGGACGAAAACTTTCTTTAACTCTACAATAAGTAAATTAATTTCACCAGCGAATTACTCTTCGACAGCAACGCCATTGAAATATACCAGAGCTACCACAAAAACAGAAGTTAAAAGACCAAATTCTAAAGATGACTGCGTGCTTGTTTAACAGAAGTTATATTTTTCTTCCCTAGTGTGGCATATGTGAGTGAAGCGGCTTTTCAAACAAGAAAAAATGTCGGGCGGAACTTGCTTCTGTAAATCGTGAATTGATTGGCTGGTTGGATGTGAGTGACAGGACGCCCTCGCGCCAGTAAAATACGGAGGGGAAGTTATTTTGGTTAAGGGCACATGAAATAAATATTAAAAATAATAATACTTTCTTTTTTTTGTTCTTCTATACTCTTTGATTCTAATGTAGAATGCGGTCTGTTACTTATTTCTTGATAACAGACCGCTGCTAAGTATAACACCGTTGCCATGAAAAACAGCGTTGCCATGGACACAGTTCTGTTCACTCTGGAGTTTAAACTCCTTTAAATCAATAAACTCCTTTTTAAATCAATATTTTTGTGTCAAATTATTGATTTATTTGGTAGGTAGCCATTTAATAAGCGGGATAATGTAGAGCGAGGCGGTTGTTATAGCGAATACAACCACTTCAGGCTGATTCAAGACCCCTCCGCTTCGCGTCCTGATCAGTCTGTCGGGTTGTATCTTTTTTAACTGTGTAACTTACCCGCGGATTATGGTTAGCTGCTACCATGGTATTTTTGTGAAGTACAGATCAGCTGTACCTGTATATTAGGGTAGGTGTTCTTGATCAGGTAGAACATCTTTCGGTGGGAGTTCAGATCACCCAGCGTGAGCTTTTCACTGGCACCTTCTTTAGTTTCGCCCTTTGACTTCTCCTCCAGCGTGTTGTCCTCCCTGATCCTCTTCACCTCCCGTCCGCCCTGCACCGCAGCATCCATGGACAGCGCGAGCAGGTCTCGCAGATCCACGGTCGTCTTCTGTCTGAACGAGGCGAATCTGCTGGACAAAACTCCCGCGTATAGGTGATAGATCACACCGACTCCCAGTATGCAGAACACGGCTATGCCGAGCGGCGACAGTCGGATGCCCATCGGAGCCATCGCGAAAACGACCGTGCGAGCGAAGCCAGTGAATATGAGAACAGGACAACTGCTATACTAGACGTGCTCCTCCAAGGTGAGCATTTGCACCCTGATTTGAATACAATTATAGCACAAGCGATCGAAATGCTAATCAAAAGTTACTTATTTCCTTGACCGGCTGAGTCCAGGGTCGAGCGAAAGCTTCCTTCATTGGTTTGTAGGATATTCCGCCGCAGTCTTAGTACGTTCTCACAATAACGGATCCATCACTGACTGACAGCAAGTAACTTAATACACTGACTGTTCCACGTCCACTGCTGTGCCAAGCAGGGCCGAACTCACTGCGATGTCCGCTTCGTGAACGAATCATTTTTTTGAACCGGTTCTTTTTAATGAACCGGTCGAACCAGTACACTAAATCGGACTGAATCTGGAACTGATGAGCTGGAGATACTGAGCATGCGCGATAGCACAGTCTCTACCGAACTTTTTTTCGGCCAAGTGCATGCTGTGCTGATACATGAGCACAGGTGAACCGAGGGGCCGAATGCGGCGAAATGTAAGTTTATTTAATAACACATAAAATAAAACTGATGAAGACCAATTTATTCACTTTATAGGCTATCGTTTAGACCTGCACAGGGTTCATTTGCAAAGCGTAAATGTAAGAAACTTATCCAAGATGATTATGACGCTGATCACTATTATTTAACTGACGTTATGATTACAAATGCCTTTATCTGACTGAATGTACTTTTATCCGCCGGGATGATATAATTGACGTCATTACGTGAAGACGTAAAAGAACCGATGAACCGGTTTTTGAACCGGTTCGTTGAAACGAACTGTCCGAAAGAACCGGTTCGTGGAAAAGAACCGGACTTCCCATCTCACACTCCGTTTTTCTTCCAGGTCAGGGCGACAACAGTCAGAAACGTGTTCAGAACGAGAGAGCGCCCTCTATTGCTTCAGAACACAGTCTATGCTTCAGAATCACAATCCATGGGGGCCAGTTGTTCAAAACATTAATATGGATCAAAATGATCCGGATTTGGAAATCCCATTTTTTTCTATTCAGGATCAGGTAATCCGTCTTAATTTTATGCCGGTTTTTCAAGGCAACATTGGACTAGATCACCCTGATCCAGATACAGAGTTTTCAAGATGACCAAATCCGGATTACCAGTGCTCTAAATGGGACAACATATTACAATGTGGGCTACCAGCTAAAGGACAGGTAGAAGAGCCAACATGGGGTCACTGTGTTTCTTATTTTGAGACAAAACACAAAAATAACATAAACATCCACTTCCATTCATAATTTCTTTTATGACTCCTCATCTGAGCCACAACAAATAAAAAACAAATATACATTAACAAATACATTGTGGATTATTTTGAAAACATCTTTTAAAAAAATGGCTAAATGTACAATAGTTACCAAAATAAAGAATGTTCGAGGTTCTTCTTCATCTGAGGAGGAGAGACCAGCATATTATATATATATATATATATATATTATTTTTGTTTGTTATTGAAGTCTGTTTGGGGGATTATTTAATGGGGACAAGATCATTTTTATTTTTATTCTATTTTTACTTCACTATACTGAATAGCTTAATTGGTAGCCTATGTCTACTTTATCACTGTTACAACGGTTACACAAGTCAAGTGCAAAATATGAATAAAAGTATATACACTAAATGATACAAATGTATTTTAAAGTTTTACTACATTTTCTTCCTGGAATCCACCTTCTCCCTGATGTTGGGATCAGGATAATCCTGTGTTTTTGGATCAAACAAAGTTATCCAAATCTGACAAGTTTTGAACAACACAAACTGAAGGTTTGATCCAGATTAAAACTAGGATTGGATTCCGTGATCTAATCTGATTTCAGAATCCTTCTTTCCCTTTTGAACAACCCATTTTCAAGATTTGATCTAATCGGATAACCAAAATCCGATCAGTTTACCTTTGAACAACTGGCCCTGGGAGCTTGTTTTGTTGGCAGATTCTTTTCTCCCCTTGAAATTGCGTGATAAATTCGCAATGAGTTATAAAGTCAAAATTGTGAGATAGAAACTCACTTTGTGCATTATAAAGTCAGAATTATGAGATAGGCTAAACTCGCAATTCTGACTTTAACTCACAATTGCAAGTTTATTATATCACGCTTTTTGAGAAAAAAAAAATCAGAATTGCGAAATCTAAACTCGCAATTGCGAGAAAAAGAGTCATAGGCCTAATTGTGAGAGAAAAAAGTCGCATTTACCTTTATTTATTTATTTTAATTCTTTGGCGAAAACGTATGGAAGTATGGAAGCTTAATTGCCGCCACGAATAAAACATTTTAAAGAATAATTGCAACTTTTTATCTCACAATTGGCTACATCTCGCAATTCTGGCTTTTTTTTCTCACAATTGCGAGATATAAAGTCAGAATTGCGTGATATAAAGCAGGAAAAAAGTCAGAATTGTGAGTTTATATTTGTTGCCTTGATTGAAACTTCAAACTCATTTCTTAAAAAAACAATATTTTGACTTCTAAATTTTTTGAGATGTGTGTAATCTTTATTTGTGGTTTTTCCCAGCAAATATTGATAGACAGTTAGTAGTTTTGTGTAAATGCTTATTGAAACTATTATCCTCGGCATCGACACTGCATAGCTGGAGGATAAACCATGTGACAGGAACCCCGTGGCTCAAGGGCAAATCATGCGGATGAACTCATGTGTCCTGAAAATGACTACATTTGTTCCAGAAGTGTAAAGAATTATGTCACTTAGCAGTGTTCCGTGACTTAAGGAAGCTGTGATATTTAATATACTGTACGTTTTTTTTATACTGAGTATCAGCAACTGTTATAGATATTTTTTAAGCAAAGGTAGAGCTATTATTTATTTGCTTTAAAACAAGTGTTGCGCTTTTGCTCCCATTGATCTTTGAAGGAAGATACACTACTGTAGGATTTAACACAGTGGCATGTATGCTCAGATATTAATAAAATATTTAAAATGAGTAAAAATCATGATCAAGTGTCTGAAATTCAGTGACAAGCAATACAGTTTATGCATTTTACACTTTAATTCTTTGGTGATCCCACAACTTTAAATATGTTCTTGCACAAATAATGACTCAAAATATTTGAACTGAAAAATGAGTACAAACTTTCATGCATTCACAAAAATGGAATGTCTAATGAAATATTACGAACATTTACATCTTTACATCACGTTGCACTGGACCATCAAACTATTCATACAGAACAATTACAAAAACAGTATGCAAAAAATTTAAAATAACCACATTTCTTAGAGCATAATTAGACCTGTTATGGAAAGTAGTGCAACTGTTATATTACTATATTGACCCTTAACTAACAGACAAGTCTGTGAATGAGAAAATACCTAATATACAATGTGACCGAACTGTCTTTTATTTTGTTAGACCCTCTAAGGATGAGTGGAGAAGAGGGGTGTTTAGCGACGGAGCCAGATCCAGGAGTTGACCAGCCAGAACGCAACAGTGAGGGAGTACATGACCATTTCCCGCTTGGCTCGCTCTTTATTCTCGTGCTCCAGTAGCTGCAGTCTTCGATTCAGCTTGATGATCTGTTCAGTAAATCAAAACACATGATTAATCATGCATGTGATCAGCTAAGGATGAAAACTGAGAAGGAAAATTACAACAACACTACTGTACCGTAAAATAAAAAATAATATTTTACTAAAATAACAATACTACAATGAATGAATGAATGAATGAGGCATTTATATAGCGCTTTCATATGTACTACTATACAGTATACACCCAAAGCGCTTTACAATCATATCAGGGGTTCTCTCCTCAACCAGCACAATGTGTGTTTTGCTTTCAAACATTAAAACCATATAGCTTTTATTGTTGGCGGATAAAACGCAGGGAGACCTTAAAGCTTTTCTTTCGTTGACAACAGATTTATAAACGTTTATATAATTATACATTTGGGAAGATTTTCAAATGCACACAATAAGCGACGTCTTCTCTGATGATGCGATTACTGGCGCGAGGGCGGGACAACCACAGTCACAGCAATGGCAAACCACAACCATCCAATCAATTCCTGATGAAGAAAATCAATGTCCAGTCCTACATTTTTTTCTTGTTTCGGAAGCAGTTTCACTCAGATATATATCGAATCTTGTTTCCGCCACGGAATAAAACAGTTTAAAAGATAATTGTGACTTTTTTCCTCACAATTGCGAGTTTATATCTTGCAATTCTGACTTTTTTTCTTGCAATTGCAAGTTTATTTCTCGCAATTCCGATTTCTTTTCTCAAATTTACGATTTATAAAGTCCAATTCAGAGAAAAAAAAAAGATAGATTTGTTTCCCTCAGAATTGCAAGAAATAAACTGGCAATTCCGCATAAAAAAGTAAGAATTGCGAGATATCAGGTTTCAATCAGCTTTTTTATTTTTCATTCAGTGGCGGAAACAAGCTTCCATTATACATCACAATAGGGAAGAAAAGACTATTGCAACTTCCATTTCATGCCGCCTTTGAATATTTGAAAATGCAGCAATTTTTTTCCCCTCAGAAATCACATGGGCCATACTTTTTAAGTAGGAAAATACAAAATAAGGAAAAATCACATCCCTGACTTATGGACATTTTGTTATGGACACAAGAGTTACACATTACCTGTCGTCGCAGTGAGGCAGCGTCTGTTAAGACAGCATCATCAGCAGTGTTCTCCAGACCTAGATCAAAAGTCACAAGAGCTGTCCGACTACACACACACACACAAAAACATTTGATTAGAAACTGTTTTTTTTTTTTTTTATTCCCTTAAAAATGAATTAAATACTGATGAATTTGAATAGCTTAAAGGTGCAGTAAGTGATTTCTGAGAAACACTGTTGATAATTGAAATCACGCCCCCCACTGCTGATTGGCTACAAGTGTGTTGTGGTGCTCGGTTCGATCCGCTTTCAACAGCCTTTCTCAGAAATCGCTTACTGCATATTTAATAAGCATGCATTTGACTTTGATCTACTATTCACATACACATTTATACTTTACATATGCATAATTAAAAGAGATGCATCATTTGGGAAGAGCCCACCTGCGGTGGCTGTCGTCCAACACCTCCAGGACCTGTTGGTAAGCCCTGCGAGTCGTGTTCTTGATGTAGGCAAGGACACCAGTGGCACTATTTAAGTTTTGACCGTCCTCAGGGCTGATGAGAGGGGGACAAGTACGGACAGGAACACGGGATGGAGACGGGCTTGCACTAACAGAGAGAGATGTGATTGTGACGCATGAATCACACATGGACACGTAATGCCTATCTGCTTGCAGACAACACAAGTGTGGCTAGACTCACTATCTGATATAAAAACACAAAATGTCTAAATGGGTCTACATAACATTTCCAAACAGAAATAAACAAAGTAGAAGAAGTAACAGTATGTGCAGCTTGATTCGAAAACATTATTATAATAGTCACAATTATAAAACTATATAGTGGAAAACCAAATCTTACTATTTTATTGCCACATTTATTTTTATAATTATTATGCATGCATGGTTTATGCCCTCATATTAATTGAAATATGTATGTGTGTGTGTATATATTTTTTTTTTCTCATTTGTTAACCACAAAACCCTTTTTTTTTTTACTTGAAGGCAAAAATTGACACTTCATTGAACGTAACAAAATGGATATATTGTTTCTCAACTGCCCAGTAAGAAAATGTATTTATACTTCTTTTTATTTTAATAATGTTAAAATGTGAGCATCAAATATGATACATCAGGCTTTTTAGGAATGTTTATTTATTCATTTCTCAATCATCATTGTATTGCACTGCATGTGTTTTGTGTGTAGGCTATATATATTTTTTTTTTTTTCAATTAACTGTTTACTTAAAAATATATATTTTATTATCATTTCATATTTACAGGGTTAAGAATTATAATGTGTTGGAAAAATAATTATGCCAAATAATTATGCACATACACAATACCAATGCTGTTAGTGAGAGGGTTAGTGTATTTTTACTCACAAATCATGTTTGTTTATCTGTCCATTGCGATGCATTGTTGAGTTCTCACTCCTACAGCGCTCCCTTCTTGACCTAAAGTGAGATCGCATCTGTGAAGAGAGGGACAACAGCTCGCAATTTCAGAAGTCAAAATGATAGCATTATTCAATGTTTTTCATTTTCCTGATTCATGTGTTACCTCATCTCTTGGCTGGGCAGTGGAGTTGCCTACTGGCTCTGGCTCGAGGAAGTCCAGAGGTTGATCATTGAGGGTGAGAACCCGTGGTGGGGTCTTCAGTTCAACCGTCTCTAGTGGCGTAGACTGGATCAAATCCAGATCTCTGGGTCTCCCGAAGCGGGTGTCATTGCTATCTCCTTGATAAGTTAAAAATGGGCATTAGTTGGCTGTTGCTTTCTTTAACATTTCATTTACTTAAAACCCACACCATGACTTTGCTAATACCTGCAATTACAATCCTTTCTGGCACATGCATCATAGTACTGTGGGATGCGTCAAGAAGGGGACCAGACGGTTCCTCTGATGAGCTGGAGGAAATCTTTAGCCTCTCTGGGATCCGCATCTGTTGACTGATGCCCTCTGTATATTCTAGCTCATAATGGATGCGGTTTATCTCTGCCATATCAGCAGAGATGAAGTCAGTCTCACTCATTCACCTATAGACAAGGACAGAGAACCACACAATACATTATATCCACCATTCTCAAGATTGGTTTTAGTAACAATGTTTTGATCAGGATAGAACAAATTTATACTGCAAAGAAAAATGATGGTATAGAGATTGGATTGGTTAATAAAATCTCGAATAACCTCAATGATAATATCAAACTAAAAATCATTATATCGAATGGGGTTTCAGATCATTGTAGTAAAATCGCCTCGAATGGAAATATAAACGAATACGTGCGCGTTTTCGTGTTTTACAAATAGGTAGGAATGGATATCTCCGACATTATAGCCTAGATGTTAAAATCAATAGCAACAGTATCATGGACCTTAGTGAAACCATGTTGTTGTTTACATTTAAAAAAAGAAATCAGTACGTTTGTCGAAACAGTAATACTGGAAAGCATGCAGTGCAAAAATCTAGGATATTTACCCGTTTAACTACTCAATCTGTCTGCACCTCGATTGCAACAAATGTGTCGGATTCAGATTACAGCCTCATCAGGCTATACATATTTCCATTTAACCACTGTAGCTGCTAAGTCGCGTTGGTAAGCAACATTCAATGTAACTTACAGCTGTACAATGATGTGCTCTCTGCTGCTAACTGTCTAGTGGCTAATTAACGCGCTCACTAGTTTTTAAAGAATTTCATTGGTGCGGGTGATCATAATTAACTGCATTTATTTATTTAATGTTGTACACACACACACACCGTCGGAAGACCATGTAATATGTTTATTTTAACAACGTTTATCGGCTAGACATTGCTGGATCCACTCATTTCCGGTTAGCATTTTCACGCACTACGACCTCTTTGCCATGTAATGCGTCACAAATTTACGAATCCTACTATGGGGAAAAGCTTGGCTTGTTATGAATAAGGTGACGTGCCTGAAAGCTTGAGCAAGGTTACCAAGCAACATCGGCAGATAAATAATTAATATTCATAACCAATGCCTTTGCCATAGTAATGATTGGTCATAATGGGAAAAAACACGCGTTACCACGTGAAACACATAACCAGGAAATACTTTAGTATGTCAGCTGTGGAAACTGAAACTTAAGTGTTGTCAAGCTGGTGCATGTGTGTCTCTATTTGGGTGTATTGTATACAGCGAAATGGCCGAAGCCAGTTTTTCTCAGGACCAGTTCAGCTGTCCAGTTTGTCTGGATGTACTGAAGGATCCAGTGACCATTCCCTGTGGACACAGTTACTGTATGAGCTGTATTACAGACTGCTGGGATCAGGAGGATCAGAAGCTAATCTACAGCTGTCCTCAGTGCAGACAAAACTTCACTCCTAGACCTGCTTTATGTAAGAATGTTATGATTGCTGAGATGGTAGAGAAACTAAAGAAGACACATTTACAAACAGCCTGTCCTCCTCAAAGTTACGCTGGACCTGGAGATGTTGGGTGTGACGTCTGTACTGGAAGAAAATACAAAGCCGTCAAATCCTGTGTCGAGTGTCTGCACTCTTACTGTCAAAGTCATCTTGAACAACATGAGAGTTTCTTTAAAGACTGGAGACACAATCTGATGGATCCCACTAGACAACTCCAAGAGATGATCTGCCCAAAACACAACAAACAGCTTGAAATCTACTGTCGTACTGACCAGCAGTGCATTTGTTATCCATGTTTGATGGACGAACATAAAATCCACGACACTGTAACAGCTGAAACTGAGAGGACAGAGAAACAGGTATGAGTGGAAATCAGTGTGCCAATGCTAATGCTAACAACAATAATAAATGCTAATGCCACAGTGTTGTGATTCCTGCAGTTTTATGTAATATTTCTGAGCTTTTACAGTTTTTTTTTTTTCCTACAGAGGCTTTTGGGAGAAACACAGAGAAAGTTCCAGCAGGGAATCCAGGAGAGACAGAAGCAGCTCCGAGAACTTAGGGATGCTGTGAAGTCTCATAAGGTAAGTTTTGAGAGTTTAACTTTCAGCTGTACTAAAGCTGCTCCTGGGTCTCAAGCTGTATAAGGCAGCAGTAAGAGTTTATTGTGATCTGTGTCCTGACAGCGCTCTGCACAGGGAGCAGTGGATGAGAGTGAGAGGATCTTTACCGAGCTCATCCGCTCCATTGAGAGAAGCCGCTCTGAGGTGGCAAGGCTGATCAGAGATCAGGAAAAGGCTGCAGTGACTCAAGCTGAAGGACTCTTGCAGCAACTAGAGCAGGAGATTGATGATCTGAAGAGGAGAGATGCTGAGCTGGAGCAGCTTTCACACACAGATGACCACGTCTATTTCCTGCAGGTGACCCAATGACGTAATAGCTATTATGCGTCCTTTATTTGTTCAAAATACATTAAAAAGGCAATTCACTTCAATACACCTCTTCACTGCAGACACTCATTACTGTGTGTCAAGGTCAATAAGTCTAAGTTAAACTAGGTTCTCATTCAGTCAAGTCACCCAAAACAGACTCTATGGGCAATTCCACCCTCATGTGACTTCTCTTTTGTCACACTGCATCATCAAAGTTTTAACACATACTTTTGTGAAGTACTACCACGATATCACTACACCAAATATAGCTTATGTGGCTAGACAAGCAGGGGCTGTGTTATCGGAATCACTTGGGTAGGAATATTCAAGGCTAACTGGTTGCAGGGGCATTGCAGAGCATGTTTAAGTCTTTTCCCCTTAGAGTTGTCTGAAAAAGTACGTCCAGTTAGCCGGTGTAACCTTGGTTTTCTGAGGGAAAGAAAGAACATCCAGTTAGCCACATCCAGTTAGCCGGTGTAACCTTGGTTAGCCAGTGTAACCTCGGTTTTCTGAGGGAAAGAAAGAACATCCAGTTAGCCACATCCAGTTAGCCGGTGTAACCTTGGTTAGCCAGTGTAACCTCGGTTTTCTGAGGGAAAGAAAGAACATCCAGTTAGCCACATCCAGTTAGCCGGTGTAACCTTGGTTTTCTGAGGGAAAGAAAGAACATCCAGTTAGCCACGTCCAGTTAGCCGGTGTAACCTTGGTTAGCCGGTGTAACCTCGGTTTTCTGAGGGAATGAAGGTAGACACAGACCAGAGGTACCCTAGAATTCTGGCCATCTTTCAGAGCGTATAATTCTAAGTATGAATGGGCCGCCAGTTCCCGCTGCCGAAGGTATGTTTTTAAGAAGAGCTTCAAGGTCCAATGTTGTCATGAACTCTGTCAGTTGATGGCCAGTACTGTGTTCTCATTAGCCTATATAAAAATAATCACAGACAGGTTCAGCAAGAAGATATATCTTAAAGGGTAACTAAACACTAAACCAACTTTTTTTAGTTAATGATCTGTAAGACTGGGGCTTTATTAATGCTGTTCATTGATTCGAGTAACTTTTTTGACATTTGGGTATAAAGTGTATTAATTCTACAATATATGGTGTAAAAACGTCTGAGTGCTGCCCTCTTCAGGTTGAACGGTGAATACTGCACTTGAATTTTCCTATTGGATGTTTGCGGTAGTTCGTGACGGTAGCGGTGAGACCTGACATAAGCAGGTTTCAGCTCACCACGCCCTTGGTACGAGCTACCACGACCATGGCAGTATAAAAACCATATTGTTTCGTCAAAACCACTGTAGCGAGTCAGGAGTTGGAAATGCGAGTATTGAAAGCGATCAGGATAGAGTATCCGTTCATCCCGAGATGGTCCTCACTGCAGAACATGAAATCCACGGGGAGGAGTCGGATCCAGATCTGACTCCTCCCACCTTACATATACCAAACCTACCCATCTCCGCCCCCTAATCCCTAAACCCACCCCTAATCCTACCCATCTCCACCCCTTGGATCTTGATCCGACTCCTCCCCGTGGATCTCATGTACTGCATTGAGGTGCTACTGTTCATCCCCTCTATCTCCGCTGGGCTCCGCCCACTTTTCCAGCATTTTTCAAATATTGCCAGTGGGTGGAGTAAGGCTCTGACCAGGGGTTTAGTTACCCTTTAAAGGTTCTCTAAGCGATCCTGGGTGACGTCACTTCTTGTTGACGTTCGAACTATTGTCAAACAAAACGGAGGCTAGCTAGACCCTCCCTCCTCCTCATCCGCACACTAACCCCCCAAACCACACCCCCAAACCCTTCTTGTCGGTCATTGGCTGGAACAGTTTGTTATGTTTTGGGGAGCGGGTCGCTGCAGTTTGTTTTTGGTGCTGTTTGTGAAGCATGGGCTGTCTACAGAGATCGCGTTTCTTTACAGTGTGTTCAGGGGACAGGCAGCCAGCGGATAGTGAGGAGATGTTTGCTGTATGTGACAAAAAATGTTTTGGCCTAAAAAACACATGACATCGCTTAGAGCACCTTTAAGGTACTTGACAGATATTCAAGTTTGGCCTGGATGTCGATTGACCAGTCTGTAATAGTATGCAGATGAATGGACAATCCGCTGCTGATCAAGTTTTCTCTAGGAGTCTAAAGCTCTTGTCATGTTATTCTTTTGTATCTTTATTGTACATATTTTTTTTCTTTTTCTGTAGAGGTTTCAGTACATCGCTGCACCTCCTGAATCTGCAGACTTACACAGCGTCACTGTGAGTTCTCTCTCTTTTCAAGATGTGACAAAGTCAATCTCTCAACTGAAGGACAAACTAGAGGGTTTCTGTAAAGAAGAGGTAGAAAAGATCTCTAATGGAGGTAAAGTACCTGTAGCACATTCATTTACTCTCAAAAATAAGTCTGGCATCATGAAACATGTATAAGAATAAAATTGCAATGGAAATTGCAATTATGTCTGTTTATATCCATAGTAACATGCATTGAAACTCCCACTAATGAACCCAAGACCAGGGAACAGTTTCTTCAGTGTAAGGCATTTTAAAGTGTGCACACACACACACACACACACACACACACACACACACACACACACACACACGTTGTGTTTTCATGTTTTATGGGGACTTTCCATAGACATAATGATTTTTATACTGTACAGACTGTATATTCTATTCCCTTACACTAACCCTATCCCTAAACCTACCCATCACAGGAAACATTCTGCATTTTTACATTTACAAACAACATCACTTAGTATGATTTATAAGCTGATTTCCTCATGGGGACCAAAAAATGTCCCCACACGAACAAGGATTTCGGATATTGCCATCCTTGTGGGGACATTTTGTCCCCATAACGTAGGGTTTACCAGGCCACACACACACACACACACACACACACACACACACACACACACACACACACACACAGAGAGAGCCCTGTAATTATGCACATCACATGTAAAGTAAATTAAAATACATTTTATTGTAAATACATGAAACAGACGCATGTATTTTGCATTCATAATCTAACAAGCATTGAATGAACTGATTGTGTTTTATTTCCATCAGATTCCCATCAGCTCACTCTGGATTCAAACACAGCAAATCGTTTCCTCCTTCTCTTTAAAGACAACAGTGTGGCTACTTATACTAAGACACCTCATCGCTATCCTGCACATCCAGACAGATTTGATTGTTGTTTGCAGGTGTTGTGTAAAGAGAATGTGTGTGGACGTGGTTATTGGGAGGTTGAGTGGAGTGGGAGTAAAGGTGTTTTTATAGCAGTGTCATATAAGAGCATTGGCAGGAAGGGAGGGAACAGTGAGTATGTATTTGGATTTAATAATCAGTCCTGGGGTTTGTTCTGCTCTCCCTCCAGTTACTTGTTCAGGCACAGTAACATTGAAACTGAGCTCCCTGTGTCTCCCAGATCCTCTAAAATCGGAGTGTATGTGGATTACAGTGCAGGAACTCTGTCCTTCTACAGCGTCTCTGACACAATGACCCTCATCCACACATTTCAGACCTCATTCACTCAACCTCTCTATCCTGGATTTGGGTTTGATTTGGGGTCAACAGTGAAATTGTGTCATCTAACAGTGTAGACTATACTGTAAGTTAAAAAAATGAAAGAAAAGTTTTTTAAACAGTGGAAGCAGTGAAGATATAGGCTACTGCATTTTGCTGGATGAAACAGACATCCAAAAATTGGCGAGTTTACTAAAACCTTACTAAATATAAAATAAAAGCTAATACATTTTAGTAGTTCATGTGTGTCTGCGGTCACATGAAAGAAACGATCAACTTTAATCTAGAGCTCCAGCAGTGGGCGCTGCATTCAAGTCTATGAAAGATTCTAATTTATCAAGTGGCCCTTGTATTTGATTAAGCTGATCTGGTTTGATTTTACATCAATATGAATGATATTCAGTTGACAAACTTGACATACCTACCACATGTACCGGTCATACAGTATCATACATCAATGAATCCTGAAAAAAAGGATCACAGGTTCCAAAAAAATATTAAGTAGCACAACTGTATCCAAGATAGATAATGAATCAGCACAATAATGATTTCTGAAGGATCATGTGACATTAAAGACTGGCTTAATGTTGCTGAAAATTCAGCTTTGCCTCAGAAATAAATTATGTTTTAAAGTATATTAAAATAGAAAACAATTGTTTTAAATTGTAATCATATTTAATATTACTGTTTTTTTCTGTATTTCAAATAGGCTACGTGCAGGCTTGATGAGCATAAGAGACTTCTTTAAAAAACATTAAAAATAGTAATCTTTCCAACCTTTTGACCAGCACTGTATACCATTATAAGGTGTAAACTTAATTCAAGATTCTGTCATTTTATGAAGTTTTTAAAATAGCTGTATTCCAGAGTCTGCCTGGAACAGCAGTTTATGACTTATTTGATTTATTCTGATTGCTTATATGCTATAAAATAAGTATCACACATAATTAAAAGATTTTTATTGTTTGCTTGAATTGACAAATAAAACAAAATACAAAGCCACTAGAATTTGTACACATCATTATTATTATTATTTACATGATTATATTCCCAAATAAAGCCTAAATGAATAGTTTGTCTTACTGGTCTAGTAAGTGCACAGTCTACCAAAACGTTCTTTGTTATAAAGCAAGACAGAAATCGAATAATTTGTTGATATTAGCTCAATTATGAAACAGGCACGATTATTTATTTTACGTTATTCCATAAGCATTGGACGTATTCAAGTTTATTGTAAATTAAAAAAAGTTAGATTACTATTAGGAATCTTTGTAATAACACTTCTAAAACCTCAGTTTGTCCCTGTTTGTTTCCCGGAGCTGGATGTTTTTGGGTAGAAGTACGTGACGTGACAGAACGTACAGTCAGTCCTCCTGACGTCATGTCGAGCTTCCCAGCGGCAGTCAGTCAGTCAGTGCGCGAGAGCCAAGATGAAGAAGTGAAATCTGATGAAGAGAAGCGAAGAGAAATCCGAGCTCTTACATCTGGACGAAACCTCTCATCTGCTCACAGAATTCGGTAAGTTATCACATACCCGCTCATCAGATAGAGTCTATTCAGAAATTGTATTATTTAAATTTCCTATGCGTGATACATAGGTTCAAGGTTGAGTCAGGATTAATGCCAAACAAACAGAGTTTGGTCAAAATATGCATTCTTACTGCCTGAAATAAAAGGCTTGACTCTTCTTTCTGTGTTTGCCAACAATTACGCAATATTTACCAGCAATGAAACTTGATAGCATATCATTTGGCTCAAAACACTTATTTACAGATGCTTACAAGACCGAAAAGATACAGATTAATTTAGGCTAACGCAAACTCTACTCCAATATGTTGCTAAACTTTTATGCTTTGTCAATGAAACAATCAACATGTGAATGAAATAGCGTACAGTTTATTAAACGATCTTGTGTTGTTTAGGGCTCATACGTCAAATTAAATCACACTAGGGATCATAAAGTTGTTTTAGAAAATAAACAATCAAAGATAAACTGTTAAAAGCGTAAACCATCATGAGTGTGCTGGACACTTTCGTCAAAACTGAGAGCTTGCTGGACATTTGTTGTTTGTTTATCTCGGGCTCTGTTTGTTTGGGTTCGCTGCTGTCATTATATGGGTGAGCTTTTTTAAAGTAATAAGGCTAAAACATCATTCTATGTTTAAAGAATTTGTTTATTTTATTACCTGTAATTATTTGTCCTATTTTTTAAAGCCTGTTGAAAGCCGTAAAACAGAAGAATACTGGAAAAAAATGTTCTTCAGACTATTGAAATATTTCACACAAAGAAAAATATGATTCAAAGAAAAGTTCTTTGGTGAACTCAAAATGGGTCTTAAACTGCATTGCTACAAAAAAAACAAAAAAAACCTTTTAGAACCTTTATTTTTAAGAGTATATTTTAGGTTTTGTGGCTGGACATCATTTTATAAAATAAAATAAAATGTAGCCTACTTTATTTCACTTTTTTTTATCCAAATACTCTATATATTATACAGTGATGATTATAAAATAATTAGACAATATTATAGCATGTCATTGCAAGGTACTGCAAATCACTCTTGTCAACTACTTTCGTTTGATCGAGTTTTTGTAACAAACAACACTGATGATGATCGAAAGCTATTAAAGCCGTTATCACTGGATTTAAGATCTTTGATTATGATTGGATCCAGAGTTAGACGTGACTTCTAATCTGAGTGTCTTTTTATTTCAGTCACTCGTTAGCTGTTATAAAGTCATGAACTGAATCATGTCTTATATATATATATATATATATATAGGTAGGTGTTAAAGTGTCATATTCAGTCAGTGATCCTCAGGGAATCCTAGGTTGCATTCCTGGTGCAGTGTCTATAAACCAGTCTATCTTGACCACATTCCCATCTAAACTGGACATTCATCTGATGACCTTCAAGGTCCCATGACCTGAAGGTTTAAAGGCAATGTTTTGGTCACATTCCTCTGTCCTCACGGCCTCATTCTTTCCCACCCCCTGAACATTTCTGCTCGGTGGCCTTAGAGGTCACAGACACTTCGGAGCCTAAGTCAAAAGCCAGCTATGAGAAAGCTGGACTCCTAAACATGCATTTGGTAATGAAACTGAAAGTCAACCTCAGAAAGCTGTCATTGCTATCATACAACTGACTTCTTTTTCATGAAGTAAATTCCACTTTTTTGATGACCTATAGCTGAATTGATACAAAATACAATAAAATTCATCACTATGGCGAAGTCCGCATTCAACAGCATTTTCAATCAATTTTGTTTCTCTAAAATTGACCTTAATTTATAAAATGTAATTTATTTAGTGATGCAAAGCTGAATTTTCAGGATCATTACCCTAGTCTTCAGTGTCACATGATCCTTCAGAAATCATTATAATATGCTGATTTGATGCTTAAGAAACATTTCTTATTATTATCAGTGTTGAAAACATTTTGTTCGATTTAAAGGGGTCATGACGAGAAATCAAATTTGCCTTCATGTTTTGTCACATAGCAGCTTTTCGACATGGTTTTGATTTTTGTTATAAGTCAGAAATGACAAGGAGGCTTCTCGCAATGCCCCCGGTGTGGGTGTGGCCTAAATGCGCTCTGTCTCTATTGACCAATAGTTATACATCATCGCACAATAGGCCCCGCCCACTGGCATTCACTCACCTAACGGCTGACATTTGCCTACACTGAATGTGAGCGTGAGCAAATAGAACCCATTATAATCATTAACGCTGTCACTAATGTGCATTCACTTTCTGACACACTCCACACGCTTGAGTCTGTCGACAACAGGACAAATGGAAGAGAGTGTAAGAACTTTTACTTTGACACGTCCAGTTTAAACAGCTAGTTTGCGTCTCTGTACAGACTTCAGAAGGATCCCAGCGTCTGAAACAAGCAGCTTTAAAAAAGTTGTGTTAAAAAGATGTTTAGATGAGTTGAAGAAGAACCCTTGGGAGAAACCGAGGCTCAAGTGAGGTCAGGTTTTAATCAAGATGGCATTGGTCAGGTATTAAGTTATACACTCTCTGTGCAATCAGTCTTTAGTGGTAATTCAATCTGGTTCCTCCTGCTTCTAATTTACCACTCTAGGGTGATTAGTAAGCCAGACCAACTGGCTAAGCTGCCACTTTATCAGCACGAGCTTAGAGCTTATGAAAGTGTGAGTCCTTGTTTGATTGGCTGAAAAGACAAGGTTTGCTGGGTGGCCTTGTGGTGCTGGAGGCATGTGCAGTTGTGTCCCCCGGCGGAGCCTTTAGGTCAGGGGTCTTGGACGGTGACCATCTGGACCTTTAGGGGGTGGTTTCCTAAGATGCGGCCTTTGTTTGCCCAAAACAATTGGAAGTTAATCTGGAGGAGATAAGAATAGCCTCTGTTACATTGCTGCCATCAACCAGTCTTCACGTAGCGTGTAAGGAGACATCTCTTTCTCTCACTTAAAAGAGGTTTTGACTGACTGGCTTCCCTTTTTTGGAGGGGTGGAGGAGGAATAGTGTTACTTTCCAGGAGTCAAGGTTCTGATCTTGTGCTGCCCTTTTGGTGGGTTGAACTATTGCTGGGAGACTTAACTAGAAAATTACTGATTAACAAGTCTTGATATATTTTTAGACCCTTTGATGATACTCAATGTCAGTGTGTATATATATTCACTCTGAAATTGCTTTAAAGTGGGGTTTTTTCACAAAGGAATCCAAATTTACACTAAACGCCACTGTAGCCAAATAAATTCAAACTGTTTAATGTCATGAGGAAACGGAAGTAGTGACAGATATGTCTTTATTTATGAGGTTTTTAATCCCAGGGCCATTTCACTGTAAAATGATGCAGTCTTTGTTAAAGGTTTTGAAAATTCTGTCATCATTTACGATCTCTTTATGAACTTTTTGAAACGTCAAAGTGGTAGTCGCGTAGACTCTCAATGGAGGGACAGAAATCGCTCAGATTCCATCAAAAATATCTTCATTTGTGTTCCAAAGATGAATGAAACTCTTACGGGTTTGGAACGACATGAGGGTGAGTAACTGATGACAGAATTTCCATTTTATGGGCGAACTAACACCTTATAGGCTTTCATTCTGTTGGCAAGGCTTCAAAATGAAAAACAAT